AAAGAGCAGAATTCAAATGGAGAGCATAAGGTTGAGATAACTCTGCCTCCTGCCATCAAAAATGTTAATAAAAATATACTAACAACTTGGGGGGATACTATCTTCTCTATTGTCACGGGAGGTGAAGAGAAAACAGGTGTGATGGATTTAGAGAGTCCTTCTTCAGAGGAAGAAAAGGAAGATGATGACTCATTCATCCCAGATAGCAAACAGGAGACACCAAGATCAGCCATAGATTATACTGGCCCTGAAAATGTAGAAGACGGTCTTTTGATTGTAGAAGTACCTGAAAGGAATAATGGGAAAGATCCAGAAGTGGACACAGAACTTCACATTAGAGGCAAAAGGAGGGAAGTTCAAGAACCTGAGAGGGGCCTGGTACAAAATGAGCGTGAATTAGACGGTGAGAGGCAGGAGGAGATGGCTGTGCACAGCTCTACTCCAGACAGTAACCCTGACTCTTTATTAGCTGCTGAAAAGGGTACAGACATATTAAAATCTGCATCTGGTGACAGAGAAAATGACCAGAACGGAGCAGCTATTCAAGTCTCAGAAGGCAGACTCCATGGAGAAAAGCCTGGGGACCAGATTTTGGAAGGTGGCTCAGAGAGTGGATCTGTACATAACGCTGCGAGGAATCAAATGAATGAAGGAAAGATTAAACGGGAATCCTTGGACATTGTTCCACTTTTGGGAGATAATCCACATAATGCACCCAGAGACAGTGTGGCAGAAGTGAATGTTTTGGTAAGTGAACCAGAACCACACGTGCCTTCAATGGAGCATCAACATGAGGAATTGAAAGAGGAAGTATTTCTTAAAACTCAAAATCAGCCTGGATTCTCCTCTTCAGACAAAATCGGTTTGCTGAGAGAACAGAAAGCAGAGGCTCCCTCTCCGGGAAGAAATCTTTCCGAGCAGCGAGCAAGAGCTGTGACCACTGCAGGCAGCGAGCGTGTGAGTGAGAAGACGAGGCCCGCTGTGGCAGAGGTCAGCGAGGACTCCTCCGGCATGCGGGAGGCAGACCAGACTGACAGCGCACGAGGGCCAGGTTTCCGTGCTGTAAATCCAGAAGCAGCAGAGGATGACTATCCCCCTGAAGAGCTACTGGAAGATGAAAATGCTGTCATTGCAAAACAGTCTAGAGAGAAGAGCCCTGGGACTCAAGACAGGCAGGCAGATGTAAATGTGCAAGTTGCTGAAAGAGCAATTTCAGGAACCATTAACCCTGATCTGGAAACTGAAGAAAACGAACAAGAAACCAGTAAGATTTGGGATACTAAAAGAAAAAGTGAACCTGCGGCCGAAGGAGTAGACACAATAGGCAGGGACCCAGGCAGTATGGTGGTGGAAAAAGAAGACAGCCCTTTGGTAGATAAGAAAGCACAGAAACCATCTGATGTAAGTGACTTCCCGGACAAGGAGAAAACTAGGACTCCAGAGCTAGGCGAAGCATTTCAGAATAAAGATGATCTGAAGAAAGACAACCCAGAGGAACCCCTCAGGGTTTCAGAGAAGCCTGGCGGAGAACTCTTAAAAGAGGACCACGAGGATATAGAGAAATTCATGGATACAGAATACCAGGGGTCTGTTTCTGAAGAACTTGAAGATGACCTGTCCCACTGGACTCCAC